CCTAGTTAATCTGCAGATTAGCTATATGATGTACACATTAAAGGCTTTTGAGCTTTAGTGGTAACATATACATATATACATACATTTATATATATATATATATTTCGTTCGTTATTTTGTTTTTTTGTATTTAAAAATTTTGTTCTATTTTCTTTGTATTCGAAAAAGCTTAGCCTGATGATGGCCAATAGAGTTGGCTGAAAACATTAGCTTTTCATTAAAAGTTTTCTCAGCAAATTAAGGTGTTGTGTTTTTTTGAGTTTAAAAAAAGGGTAGCCAAATCTTGCAACACTGAAAGGAATATTAAATAAAGCTAGAGTTGGGATTCAAAGGATTATAGATCAAATTCGGGGAATGGAGAGAAAGGTTAACTAGACCTTCTGTTATGCAAATATTGATTCTTAATTTTTCAACCTTTTCTCAATTTTTTTATCTTTTGGCCATTCTCTTCTTTCCTCGAATTTGGGGCTACAATTCTTTGAGTCACGACTCCAGCTTTATTTAGTATTCCTTCCTCATTCACACATTTCAAGTGTGAGATCTGGAATTTTAGTAACGAAAATCACGCTCTTTTATTAACAAAAATTTTAATTAATTTACTTTCATTTATGTAACAAACTGGAGAAAAAAACGATCTTAGCCAGGAATGTGTAAACCTTCCTGTCATAACTATCAACATCTATTGTTCTCTGCAGAACTTGCAGCTCATCTTGCGGAAAAGTTTATAGTTAGCATCCAACTTTCGTCACTTGTTTTAAGTCCCTGGGACACCTGTAACCTTTAACACATGAACATCCGATTACGTGGTGGAAATTCCCCACAAAAAGCTATAAAAAAACAGTTCTTACCCCTCTCGGGGGAGTCTCTTAACGAACACTGGACTGACGACATCGCGCCGATTCTCCAAACCTGCCGAATTCCGATCGCCGCTAACAGATCATCGCCAAAGTTGCGAACATTTTATAATTGTGCCTCAGTTGGATTAAAACCCATCTTTTATTGGACAATTAAGTGTGTCTACAGATTTACTTGTCACGGAACATTCAAAGAGGTATGAAAAGCGGGAAACTCTCTCTCGAGAAATTAGGCGGTTTTAGAAATTCTATTTGTGTAGTCTTTTGTCCATTTTGCTTAGTTAAATAAATTGTTGTTATATTGGTTAAATATGATAGACTCCTTTACTCGATCACGCCTTTCACCTTCTCGTCGACCCCAAAATTCTCTCCCTCCACTCGCTGATATTTGAGTCCCAACCAACGGGACCGTTATCGTAAAATAAGCTATCATGACAGTGAGCAGGTTTAACGACCTGTTGTCTGTACAGGGAGAGTCGACGGTTTCTGACCTCCCCTGTGGTTCAGAAATTGGTGTCAGGAGTGGGGTTGACTTCCTCGAGAAATCAATAAGGTGAAAAAAGGCATATTCGAGTAGGAGGTTTAGTTAAGTAGAATCGGAGTTTTTGAATTAGGAAGCAGATTTAGTGGTAATAGGAAAAAATGGATCCTCAACCTCAACCTGCGGCTGGGCCAGGCAACCCAAATCCGAATCCCATCACATTAGGCGGTCTCGGCGGGTTTTTACCATTGTTACCCGTATTTTCTGGAGAGGCAGGAGGCCCCAGAGTAACAGATTTTTTCGATTCTTTGGCAGACGTAACCAAAGTAGCCGCCTGGTCTAAGGCACAGATGCTAGCGGTAGTGAAAT